TTCACCATCTTTACTTGAGACCAAACAACTATCGCTTATGATAGAACATATTTCGTTCATGTGGAATCAACACTCCAATATGATAGGAACCTACCAACATAATTTCTACCTTTACTACAAAACCCTTTACGTAAATATTGAAGCGAAATTTTTACACGAAAGAGATATTTATTTGTTAAAAAAATAGAGAAATTAGAATAAGAATTTTATAGGTGCGTAAAATTGCCTATGAAATGCTCTATATTACCTGGTGTGGAATTCAAACCCAGTTCGAATGGTGCTCCCATAATTTGTAAAATCGTGTTTCTGGTGTTACAACTTTATTAAAATGCACATTTAATCGGATTGCGACACATGTTTCGTTCTGCACCATTGGATCAGGTTCTGGAGACTTCTATTCTTTAATGCCATTTCATTTAGCATTTTTCACCTGCTAGGGTTTCATTACTTCTCTTTCTGGGTTACGCCGTTTTGAAAAGAACTTTGTGGTTTTGGTTCTATTTTCAGTTTCTTCTCAAATTATTGATTCAAGATTGTTGATCTGTAATAGTTAATCTCTGTAATAGTGATATTCTGAGTGAATATCCATGAGAAAGTCCGTGTTTTTTCATGTTGCTGTTTCTGTGGTTCTGAAGAGATTCTTAGTGAATCTCGTGGATCGACTATTGTATATAGAGAAAAGTGTTTTTTTCTGTATTCAGTGATTTGGCTGAACATTTTGTAACATTTGTTGTCTTTTCGGGCTATATAGTGGAACCGAGCACAAATCCAATCTATGGGATGCTGAACAAGGGATGTAGGTGTTAGAAGTAGTCGTCGAACCTCCGGGTTTAGGCAGAAAGAAATCGCTTGTGTTTTGTTTAATTTTCTGCACTTTATTTTTTGAGAAGATCATTGCATTTCTATTTCTCGATTTAATACTATGTGTTCTTGTCCTTACAGTGGTATCAGAGCTGTACCATTGGCTGATACTATTTCCAAAACAGATTTATAGTGGCCTTACAGTGGTATCAACAATTCCAGTGATAGATCTTACCCAAGATTTGGCCTACCAAATGGATTTACAAAACTTACCCAAGATTTGGCCAACTGTGATGAAATTTTTTCAAAATAAGATGGCTTTTGTCTTGTTAAACTCCATTAGTGACAGATATAAAGACATCAAAGTTGCTCTAGAGTATGGTAGGGAATAACTTACTGGTGATGTGATAATAAATTCTTTAAGAAATAAGGCTCTGGAGATGAAAGCTGATTCAAGTAATAGTCAAAATAGAGACAATTTATTGGTAAAAGGTAAATGTTTTGGTAAATCAAATTATCATTCTATATCTTTTATTGAGAATAAAAACAGATTTAGTGATAAGTATAAGTCCAAAAATAAGGCTAAAGGTAAGAAGTGTTATTAATGTGGAAAATTGGGTTATTTTGCTAAAAAAATGTTTTAAGAAGAAAAATGATTTAAAAAAGAAGAAGTTTGATGATGGGAGTAATACTTTAGTACATAATAAAGCTAAATGTGATACTGGATTTGTCCTTGTTAATATGGAAAAACAATTGAGTGATGAATGAATTCTTGACTCAAGTTGTTCTTTCCATATGTGCCCAAATAAAAGCTGTTTTCTTGAGTTTGAAAAGACGGTTGCAGGGCAAGTTACAATGGGAAATAACCTTATCTGTGAAGTAAGAGGAATATGTACCATAAAATTGTTATTGGAAAATGGTAATGTTCTATTTCTTAAAGGAATTAGATATGTTCCAGATCTGAAGAGGAACCTGGTGTCCTTAGATATGTTAGATGATATGGAGTTTAACATAAATTTGAGTCAAAGACATAATAAAATTCTTAGGGGCAATGATTTAATCATTAGCACCTCTAAGAGACATGATCTCTATTTTTTGAAAGATAAACCCCTACTTAGCTTAACTGCTTCTGCTGTATCTGGAAACTTTATACTTGCAAAATTATGGCATGATAGACTTGGCCACATTGGCAATAAGGGTTTAAATACTTTACAATCAAAATGAGTTTTTGAAAAATTAAATCTCGGTGATTTTGGTTCTTGTGAACAATATATCTTAGGAAAACAAGTCAAACTACATTTTTCAACAGTAATTTATAAATCCAAACAAATATTGGAATATTTAAATGTTGATTTGTAGGGTCCTACTGTTGTGTGCACTTTATCTGGTTTTAGATATTTTTTACTGATCATTGATGATTTTTTTAGAAAAATTTGGGTCTTATTAAAAAAATAAATATGAAACATTCTCTATTTTTAAAGATTGGAAAACTCAAATTGAAAATCAAACTGATCACAAGATAAAGATTTTAAGGACTAACAATGGTTTGGAATTTTGTAATCATGAATTCAATAATTTTTGTAAAGAACATTGTATTTTGAGGTATAAAACTGTCATCTATACTCCTTAACAAAATTGAATAGCTAAAAGAATGAATATGACTCTATTGAATAAAGTTAGATGTATGCTTTTGAGTTCTGATCTGTCTAAATTGTTTTGGGGTGAAACTGTTAAAACTGCTGCATATCTTTTTAGTAGAAGCCCAACCAAAGCTTTAAATTCTGAAGTACTTGAATCTGTTTGGTCTGATGGTTCTGTGAATTATTCTCATTTAAAAGTGTTTGGTTGTGCTGCATATG